TTGGAAAAGCTTATCAGGGTCTGCCTGAAGTAGGCTGTGTCTTGCCAAAGGCCAAAATTAGGAGGCTAATACTAAAAGTGCAATTTCTCACTATCCTGCCTCTAATGCCAGAGCTGCTGACACAGCTGGGGGAGCCAAAGGTGGCTGGTACCACAGAGACATAAAATTGTGCTCCCGGTGATTAAAAATTCCCAGGAGCAATATGCAAAGTTTGGTGGTTTGCATTCAGAGAAGAACTATCAGATAAAAATCCACTGAAAGTCTGCTTTCTTTCCAGGCATATCAAATGTCTCATCATTTTCAGCCTTTGCCTGGGACTCATCTTCCTGTCAGGATTCTTCCAGTTGAAGAATAAAAATCATGTGTAAGTGAAGCGGAAGTAAGGTTGCATGACTTCATCTGCCCAGGGCAGCAAGGATCTGACTTGTGACACTTGATTTAACTCTCATGGTGTTTAGGCTAATATTGGAAGGGCAGCAGCCCAAAGTTAGGTCCTAGATCCACATTTGGGCAGGCAAGGGATCAAATTAGCCAAAGTCCAGCTCTTCAGGGCAAAATCAGCCATATGGAAAAAGAAAAGGGGATCAAGCTGAAGCCTTTGGGTAGATGAGAACCTGGAGAAGCAGAAAACTGTCCAACACCTGCACCTGAGGGATGGAGCTTGTTTGGGTTGGTGCCTTGCACCAGCTGCAGGTGTGGGATCAGAAGGAGAACCTGCTGGGGTTTGGCTTTGCAAGGTTTCAGAGATGGGGTATGGCACTGGAGAGGCTGTTTTCCCCATCTGTTGCCTTTCTGCAGAATCTCGAAGAGCCACAAGTCGCTGCTGATACCTTCCATGCCTTGCCATGCCAAGACTAACGTCATGTTCCTCAAGACCCACAAGACAGCCAGCAGCACCATCCTGAACATCATGTTCAGGTTTGCGGAGAGGTACAACCTCACTGTTGCCCTCCCAGCTGGCCAGCTCCTCCACCTGGGCTACCCAAAGACCTTCCTGTCCCACTTTGTGGAGGATTTTCAAGCCATAGGACAAAACTACAACATCATGTGCAACCACCTGCGGTTTAATGCCTCGGAGGTAAGAGCCATGACACCTGCAGAGCAACCTGGTTGAACAAGCAGTGCCTCCAGAGTAACAGCCTCTCTTCTTCCTCCCTGCAAATAGGTGCAAAAGGTGATGGCAGCAAACACCTTCTACTTCTCCATCCTGAGGAACCCCGTTCATCTGCTGGAGTCTTCCTATGTCTACTACAAGAACAATGTCCCTGCCTTCAGGAGCTCCAAGGACGTGAATGAGTACCTGGCATCACCCATGAAGTATTATCATCTGGCAGATTACAAGCAAAACATCTACGCCAGGAATATCATGTGGTTTGACTTTGGCTATGATAACAATGCAGAGGACAACAAAACGTACATCCAGGCAGTCCTGAAGGAGATTGAGCAGAACTTCCACCTGATCTTGATAACAGACTACTTTGATGAGTCCATGATCCTCTTGAAGCACACTTTGTGCTGGGATCTGGATGATGTGATTTACTTTAAGCTCAATTCCAGAAGCCAGGACACTTTCCAGACCTTGACTCCAGAAAGCGAGGAGCGGATAAAAACATGGTGCTCACTGGACTGGAAACTCTACTTGCACTTCAACCAGAGCTTCTGGAGGAGAATTGAGGAGACCATAGGACTCGAGGAGCTGGAGAAGGAGGTGAATCACCTGCGAATGAGACAGAAGGAGCTCATGGAGACCTGTCTCTTGGACCAGGAGGCAGTGGGGAAGGATCACATCAAGAACAAAGCTCTCCTGCCTTTCCAGTCAGGGGCTACAAATATCCTTGGGTACAACCTCAAAGAAGACTTAGACAACAGGACTCTCAGAACCTGCCAGAAAATGGTTATGCCAGAGCTCCAGTACATGTCCTATCTTTATGCTGTTCAACACCCGCACAAGAAAAGGAAGAAGGTAGGCTTGCCTTTGCTGTGGACCAGTTTCCAGGAGAAGATGCAGCTCCGAACCCCCAACTAGGGCATGCAACAACCCACTGTGGTTTTCCACTGCTTTGCATCACCCCATGTCTGGCACATGGCTGGCCCACAGGACTCTTGTGCATGAGAGGGAGGCAGGGGGGCTTTGTTTGGGGCCACCAAGCTAGTGGCGAGTCCCTTTTTGGGGACCTTGAGTCAAAGGCTCTGTGTTGGATGGATCCTGTGTGATCCCTCCTCCCTGCTCCCAGGCAGGAGGACAGCCTGCTGCTGCTCAGTGCTGAGCAGGCTTTCAGCTGGCTTAGATGTTCCTACCTCTTGATAATCATTAATCACAGGCTTAAAAATTTTGTTTGCATTCGACTTTATTTAATAGCCATCATTACGCCCAGGCTGGTCACAAATCACTAGAGCAAGTCCTGATTTTCAGCATTTAGGGGAAAAAAGGGGAGGGAGAGGGAAATGAGGAGGAGAGCGCAGTGAGGGGAGAGTAGGAGAGACATTGGGTCTTCCATCCAGCAGCATCCATGCTCAGTGATGTCTAACCACCATGCGATGCTGGGGCTGCTTTTCAGATGGGAGTCCCAAGCATCGTGCCTAAAGCTGGGAGATGTCCCAGTCATGCATGTCATGAGGTGCAGGGAGCCTCTGCATCACTTGGGACAGCTTGGGGCTCCCGTGGGAGGGCCTGTTTTGTGGTATCACCCCTGTCTCCTGGGCAAGGGTCCCCAGTCCCTGAGCATGGACGGTCCCTTGGGCTCAGCATCCCAGAAGCCCTTTATCAGCAGGGGCTTCAATTGGGCACTCTTGCTGTGTTGGCCAAACTCTCCAACACCGATTAAGAGAGGGGTGCAGGGAGGCACAGCCGCTGCTCGTTTAGGGCATACACCTCATTATTGAAGGAGGTAATTAAACATGCCTGGGACATCTTTGCTCTTTGCCAGCTCCCCACTGCTGCAGCGGTGCTGGCAAGGTTTGTCAGAAGGACAGCAGTGCCAAGCCCAATAGCTTTGGCGTCACTGCCTTTAATGATTGCCCATTGCCAGTTTCCAACACACCCGCCATCCCCGATGGTGCAATATTTCAATGCTCAGTCAGCATCTCCTCCCGCTTGCGCCAGTCAGGGTGGCGGCGGGGACCTGGATGACGCGACTGGGATGATGGATGCAGGGTCACTTGGCTTGCAGCTTCGCCTTGGGAGTGAAGCAGCCCGGCAGCATCTCAGCCCAGGAAGCAGGAGAGATGCTGTCAGAGGAGGGCAGAGCTGGGATTTTTTCCTCAGCTATGTTTAAACGCGGCAGGTAGCCAGGGAAGCCAGCTGAGGCAAGGGTTAACCTCCTGCAATGGAACCTGTGCTCCTCCACAACCCATGTGATGTACAACAGGAGCAACACGGAGATTAACAGCATCAATATAGTTTTCTGCTCCAGCAACCCTAGCTAAAATTAACCAGGCTTAGCAGGCATTTGTAACCAGCCAGGGCGGAGTAGACAGCAGCCACGCGTGTTCAGCCTGGGCAATCTCCGGGGGCCTTTCCCGGCCAATCCTGCGGCCTGAGCCTGGGTTTTCGCTTGGTGCTTCTGATCTGTGACTTGCCGTGTGAATTTTGTCAAGCCCCTTTAGCTAAGCTGATGCCGAGGATGAAATATAAGCATAAAAATAATTTCTTAACAGCTGGCCTCCGTGCGGGTGGGAGTCTTGGGAAGGCTGGCACCCTCCGGACTACAGCCCATGGGCTGAGGAGCTCACAGCTGAGTTGCAGCACCTGGGCAGGGAGGTCTGGCCTCTCCCAGCCTGTGGGAGGAGGGAAACTGAGGCAGGAGATGCAAATGACCCCTGCCACAGCTCCCTTTGCATCCCCTCCTGAGGGGTCCGAGCAAGGTGGCTTGGCAGCCGCAGGGCCCCCTGCTCTGCCCGGGCTGATAACGGTGCCTTTGTGCCACCCGGCGCTGCATGAGCGGCTGCCACTGCTGACTCAGGGCTTTTTCCCGGTCACCGCCGCTGCGGGAGCCCCGTGACCCATCAGTGGAGGAACCCTGCAAAGGAGGGGGTGGCACTGAAGCAGCGAGGTGACGGGCTCTACAGAAACCTGGTGGCTGCAAGAGCTGGTGTTACCCTGTGGCAGGGGTGAGGGACGGAGGGGACACCCCCAGCTGAGCAGGACCCGGTGAGTGCCTTTGCTTTCTCCGTGGGGTGTATGATCAGCAAAAGCTCCTAATTAAAACACAGGTGAAAGTTGTCCTCGGCTGCTCTGGCTGCACCCCAGAGCAGGATGCCCGTCTCCTCCCATGGTGATAACCTGGGACACGTAGGGACATGTAACCTGGGGACAGCTGAGCGCGGTGGCACTCCTGCTGTCCCTGAAGGAAAGGTGCTTGGGGACCGCTCGCACCTTGCTGCTGCAGGGACATCCTGGCCGGGGACCCCGCAGTTTGTGTCGTGCAGCCCAGGTTTCCCCCACAGGTCAGAGGGAAATGAGAAGCCAGCTGGGTCGCTGTGCTGGAGGCACCAGAAACACAGGACAAAATGCTCCCTGACCCCCTCGGAGGACCCTGGGCTGGTCCTGGGGTCTTGGCTGTGCGGAGAGGGTCTCTGCCCCCCCCAACACTCGCTTGACGATGGGAGCGGGGAACCGCAGGTTCCTCCCCTTTGCTGACTGGCCTTGATTTACCAGAAACCTCTTTTGAAGAGCATTTTGAAGATCAGTTTAATTTTATTTCATTTTATTTCGGGGTAGCCCAGGTCAGCCTCTTCGGTGTTACCCACCTTTGAGTGGTGGTGACTTGCTACCACAGCGGCACACATTCAGCCCCTCTCAACCCCAACCCTGCATGTAGCAACCTGTCCTCCAGCCCGTGCTCCTGGGGGGTTCCCCAAACCCAAGCCCATCAAATTAAACCCCAAACCCCTCCAAGGACAACCCAGCTCCCAACGCACACGCCGTACTGTGCCCAGCAGCCAGTCCTCCCCTTCATCAACCCACCAGGGTGGAGCCGCATCTTTGTGCTGCAGAGGCCATGGGCTCCCGGCACTTCCCTGCCCGGACCGTGCTCTTCGAGAAGGAGTCCAACGGTGTCACGTACCGCGTGCCCGCCCTACTCTACTTGCCCTGCGTGGCCAAGCTGCTGGCTTTCGCGGAGGAGCGGCTGAGCGCCGACGATGCCCACGCCAACTTGCTGGTGCTGCGCCGTGGCACTGTCTACAGGAGCTACGTGGAGGTGGGACAGGGGATGCACCCAGGGTTGGGGGGACACGCTGGGCTGGGGGCATGGGACAGCCAGGTGGTTATCCTCCACCACTTGTGCATGGCACAGCCAAACTCCTGGAGGCACCTGCACAGGGAAGGGATGCTGCATTGGGTGAAGTGGAGTGGTCCTCACCCCTCTCCACCCTCTCCTCCTCCTCGGGCAGTGGGAAGACATGCGCGTGCTGGAGACTGCAAAGCTGCAGCACCACCGGTCAATGAACCCCTGCCCGCTCTATGACGAGTTCACCGGCACCCTCTTCCTTTTCTTCATCACGGTGCTGGGCAGGACACCCGAAGCCTATCAGATCGTTACTGGGCAAAATGTCACCCGCCTCTGCTGCGTCACCAGCGCCGACCAGGGCCTGAGCTGGAGCACGGCCACAGACCTGACGCAGCAGGTCATTGGCGGGGCCATCAAAGGTAGCCCACTGGAGAGGGGTGAGAAAGGGAGAGGACAGCCAGCAAGTGGGCGACCATGGGTTTTGGCCTCCTGAGGCCACCTATGGTGCCATCAGAGGTGGCCTCGGGGTAGGAAGCCCACAAGTATCCAAGAGCAGAGATGGGGGGGAAGAAGACCCCAAGCAGAGGGAAGAGGGGGTGGAGGGAGTATCAGCATTGTTTACACGGGGAGGAGAGGCCCTGTAGCTATGGGTAGGACCATGCATGAGGACAACCAGGCAGCACGGGGCTCTGCTGCCCTCCCACGCCACCACCTTGCTTGGCTAGGCTGAGGGGATGCTCTGGAGACCCTTCCACGTTGGGCATGGCGGGGGCATCATGGAGGCCACTGTTCACCCCCATCCCTCCTCTGCTCCCCAGACTGGGCGACGTTCGCGCTGGGCCCCGGTCACGGGATCCAGCTGCGGTCTGGCCGGCTGCTAGTGCCCGCCTACAGCTACCACATCGACTGCAAGGAGTGCTTTGGGCAGCTCTGCAAGACCACCCCTCACTCCTTCGCCTTCTACAGCGATGACCATGGCCAGGGCTGGCGCTTCGGGGAGTTCATCCCCAACCTGCAGACGGGCGAGTGCCAGCTGGTCTCGGTAGATGAGGAGGATGGCTCCAATGTCCTCTACTGCAATGCCCGCAGCCCCTTGGGCTTCAGGGTCCAGGCGCTGAGCACGGATGACGGGGCTGTCTTCCATGGGGGGCAGCTGGTCCAGCGGCTCGTTGAGCCCCCCCATGGCTGTCATGGCAGTGTCATTGGCTTCCCCGCACCTTTTGTGTATGTCCCTGCCACCCCCCAGGACCCTGTGATGTCCCTTCGGGGCCCAGCTCGCTGGCTGCTCCCTGGGACGCTCCCAGGGTTTCAGTACCTGCCCACCTGCCAGGCAGCAGGAGATGAGCTGCCTGCCGTGGCCACCAGCAGCCACCATGAGCCAGCCGAGCCTGAGGAGGGCTGTCCTTCCACAGGGCATCACAGCCATGCCCACAGCATCACCTTGGTCCCAGGGGACCCTGCAACTACCCCCAGCCCCGCTGCCTTCTTCCAAGCGCCAACGTGGGTCCTCTACTCCCACCCCACCAGCTCCATGTCACGGGTCAACATGGGGATTCACCTGAGCACCTTCCCCAGGGATGTGGAGAGCTGGACTGAGCCATGGGTCATCTACGAGGGCCCAAGCGCTTACTCGGACCTGGCTTACATAGAGCTGCCCTACAACGAGGCTTCCATCGCTGGTGGCCCGGCCATTGCTTTCGCCTGCCTCTACGAGAATGGGATACGGTCACCCTATGAGCAGATCTCCTTCAGCATGTTCACACTGCAGGATGTGCTCCAGAATATCCCCCTGACAGCCACTGCTCCCCAGCGGGACGGCGGCCCCCTGTGCTGCAGGAAGCAGGGGCGAAGGAGCTGCCTCATCTCCTAGTGCCCCCCCAGGTCGTCTCCCTCTGGTCCGCTGCGCTGGACCCCAGGGCACCAACCCACAGCCCAGTGTGCTGGGATGCTCACAGCCCAGGGTCCTGCCACCGGCCAGCACGGCCACATCACACAGAAGACATGCGCTACCATCCCAAAACTGGGTTTTATCTCATTTTTATTGCTATTTTTTAATTATATAGTTGGTTGGGCATGGAGGCTTGTGCCACCAGCCCAGCCCAAGGCTCCTTTCCAAGCACATGAGCTGCCCCGTGAAATACACAATGGGAGGCAACAGCAGAAATGCAGGGGAGAAGGCAGCTGGGGGCACCCCGTGCCACCCATGTGTGCCAGGTCGGGGGGACGTGATGCTCCAGCTGTGCCATACCTGGTACTACCACCCTGCTCCAAGGGTTTTCCTCCCATGGTCATAAAGATTTATGTTCTTTTCTTTATTGCTCCTTTTTAGTGATCTTGTTTGTGCCAATTCTTCTTTTTCTCAATGGTCTCTCCAATATTGCCCAGTTACTGTTTAATCTGGCTGTTGTTTTTTTTTTTAATCTACCATGGACATTGGTACTTTCCTCTGAATCTTATCAGTTTTGGGGCAAACATCCTCCCAGCACAGGCTGGTTCAGGCCTGTACCCACGCTCAGTCCCTGTATCCCCACGCAGGGATGGGGGATGCGCTGAAGCTGGTGACACCCTCTGCGAGTGCAGCAGCAGGTTGTGCAATGGGATCCTGGACTGCTGGGAAGGAGCAGCTGCTCCTAACATTTGCTGCATGCATGTGTGTGTGTATGGGTGAACTTTGGGGGACTACACCTCATTTCCAATGCTACCTCCTTCAGCACGACTCCATCCAAGTCCCCCAGCCCCAGCCAGAGCCCGACTCGGCTCCTCCGGTCTCCTTCGTCCCTCCTGCCCTGCGCAGGAGACAAACACCAACACAAGCTGCCCTAAATACAGATTGATTAACCAAAATAAGTTAGTGTTTTCACTCTTAGCTCTACAAATATCGCTGTGTCACATTTTGCATTTGGGTGGTGGAGGCTGATGAGGAGTGGCTGGGGAAGTGGTTGGGCTCATTCCAGGATTCCAGGAGCCACTTCCTCACCTCTATCACTCACCAGGCTGTTTTCCAGCCCCAAATGGCTCCCCGCCCCAAGGGCATCCGCTCCAGGGCAGAGGAAGAGGTATCGCCTGGGCAGAGGGCTCTGCACGGAGGCAGCCCTTTGCACACTGACCCCATGCACAGTGCTTCGACATCTCGTGCAGGCTGGTGTGTCTGTCCCCCGTGGGCACTGGGGGGGGTGCACCAGGCTGTCTGTCTTGCACTGGGCTGGTATCACAGCTCATGCCATATCCCCACCCCAGCCTTTGCCCCTGGCCAAGGGACACCCGGCGATGACGCCTCCTCTGAGCACCAGCCTCCTGGCACCATCGCAGGTCCCTACTTCCCCTCACAAAAGCCGCAGAGGCACCCGAGGCAGCCGTTGAGGATCTGGAGGGAGGCCAGCACCATCTCGGTGGCACTAACGAGCAGCAGGAGGGAGAAGAGGACGACGTTCCAGGCCACGACACCCGCTGGTTCCAGGCAGATGCTCCAGGTGCGACGATCGTGCAGGTAGTTCTCTGTCCTGCGCGATGGGGAGAGGAGAAGATGCAAGATGCTGCCCTGCGGCAGGTCAGGAATCACTTCACTTTCCGCCATGTCCCCTAGATGATCCATGACATGTCCCCTAGATGCCCTGTCCTTCATCCCAAGGATGAGCGGGGTCAGCAGGGTGATGGGGATGGGAAGCACCATGTAGAAAACCATGGAAGGTGATGAACTCTTGAGCTTCCGGGGTCTTGCATCACCACCAGCAAGCCCACCCACCCCACCCACCATAAATAACACCGACTTAATTAGCAATAAGCTGACAAAGCGGCACCAGCAACTCAACCCTGCTGCCTCACCTGGTGTCAGGCTCCTGGCCGCTGGCGTCCAGGAAGGGGTAACCCCAGAGGGTGCCATGCCCATGGCCGTACTCGGAGGCGTTGTAGAAGCAGAGGGGTCCATTGGTCAAACCCACCCCAGAGAGGACGAAGCAGGCGGCAGCGCCCAGGAGCGCCAGCTTGGAGAGCACCGCGGAGATGAAAGCCTGTGGGCAGCACCCGGGGAGGGTGGGGAGGAGGAAAATGAAAGGCAGGCTCCAAAACGCAGCTGCACATATTGGCAGAGTTTGGTAAGGGGGCAAAACTCCCCTCCCTTTCACCCCGAGGGGCTCTGGGGAGCCGAGGCTGAGGATGGAGCTGTCGCTGGGTTGTTTCAAGCTGGGCAGAAGTGGGCAGGGAGCGGGGACAGGCAGGGAGCAGGGATAGACAGGGAGCTGCCACACGGAGTCTGGTGGGGCAGAGCCCATGCCAGCATGCACGGGAAGCCCTGTCCTCTGGGGAGGTGGCACCATGCAGCATCCTGCCACGGGAGAGGGGGCACCCTGCCACATCCCACCGTGGGGTCATGGGAGAGGGGGATCCATGCCATGTCCCACCATAGGGCCACAGGAGAGGTGGCACCCTGCCATGACCCAGCAGGGGAGAGGGGGCACCCTACCATGTCCCACCACAGGACCAGGGGAGAGGGGGACCTGTGCCATGTCTGACCACAGGGCCATTGGAGAGGTGGCACCCTGCCACAACTGTCACAGGAGAGGCGCCACCCACCACATCCCACTCTGGGGCCACAGGAGAGGAGGATCCATGCCATGTCCCACTGCAGGGCCATGGGGGAAGTAGCACCCTGCCACATCCCTCAGTTGGGGCCACCCGCCACGTCCCACCATGCGCTGCTTGGGACTGCTTTGGCACAGGAGTCCTCATGCTGCCTTACATTGCGACGAGTGCCGCAGTCAGAGCAGCCAGCGCATCGCCACCCCACCGCCGTGATGTGGGTCGCTGCCAGCAGCACCTGCAAGAAGGAAAAAGCTGATGGGGGATGAAGGGGAGCCATCTGCTCCATTCCTTCTTCCCTGCTGCACAGATACGTGAGGAAGGATGAGGTGGAAACCACGATACTCACGGCGATGCCGCCTCCCCAGATGCCTGGCATGGCCTTGGCGTGCTTGCTGATGTGCCCCTCCACCAGGTACTTCGATGTCCCACCGGGCAAGAGCAGGAGGATGTTGGCTGCTACAGAGAGCATGCCCAGCGCCAGCAGGCAGGGACCCACGATCCGGCTGCACTTCCCCACGCACATGGCCAATCTGCATGGGGATGGGGAGGAAGAGGAGGAGAGGACGGGGCTGCCTTTGGCCCCACAGTGCCCCACAGCTGCCCCACCTCGAGCCCATCTCACATCTGCGGGTGGATGGGAGTTTGCTGGTTTGTGCTTTTGGGTCCCAGCCTACCCCACCGGCACTGCCTTTACTCAAAAGCAATTTCCAATGGAAATCCTATTTTCCCCACACCATCTAATTAATTAAATATTAGAAATAAATTCAACATTAACACCGATCTACTGCCACCAAACAGTTTTCTTGAGGTTGAACTATTTTATCACAGAAGGAGAAGCCCAGCTTCAGACCTGCTGATATTTCTTTGCCAAACAGGCAAGGGAGTTTAAGACAACGGCAGGTCCCACACTGAGACTTGAAACCTGTGCAACCCACAAGGTTGGCTCCTCCAAAATGTTACTGAAGGAAGGAGACCAACCACCGCAGCTCGGTTTGACTTTGAGTGCTTACAGTGAGCAGGATAGAGCCAGGAAAGGGGTGAAATCTTTGGACAAGGACTCGTGAAAGCACATCAGTCTCCAATCAAATCCAACAGCAACTCCATCCCCATCGTGCACTAGTCCTACCATAGGTCTGAATATGCTGAAACCAGTTAAAGTTAATTAAGAGAAGGTTATCGCCTATCCTTGGGCAAGCCATCCAGCTCTGCTGGCATTTTATTAAGTTATCGGTTCACCTAGAAAGTGCCTGCCCATCTCCAGGTGATACCTTGTCAAAAATTAGCTCTCCCTCTTCTGTATCTGCAAGACAGGGGATGTCCATCGGTTGCTCTGGGACCGCTGAAAACAACCTGGTTTGCTGTTGTCCCAGCTTCCCACGTTTCTTCTGCTCTGTGTTCATTTTTGCTTCAGGTTGGTTTTATGCTTTTTCCCCTTTCCTGGTGGCTTGCAACCCATTTTGCACAAGCTCTCTGAATCGAGCTGCTTCTGGCACCTGCTGATTTATTTCAGGCTTGCTCTGGCTTTGCAGAAGCAAACAGGCGCTGCATGGTTGTTTCCATGGGAAGAGCTGCCTCAGCCCCTCTCACGTGCGGCAATGGGGAGGAGCGGCTCAGGCTGCACGTCCAGCCCCTGCATGGCCCGAGACACCAGGGGGTACCAGACCAATGGGGCTTCGCATCGCTGCGACCTGCTAGAGACCAGCCACGCCAGCCCCGGCAGGCTGCTGGGGGCGAGGGAGGGCTGAACATGGAGGAACAGCGCTGCAAAACCCTGCTGCATGGAGAGGACACAAGCCAAGAAGTCCAAGGTGGACCACCAGCTCCACCCATCCTGGAGCTTTGCCTCCCCTCTGCTTTCTATCCTCCCTGCCTTGGTTGTAAGGAATTTAGGGCCTCTTGCCCTCACTGTGATCCCACCTGCAGTCCAGGGATTGTGCGTGGTTGTCCCCCCCAGAGCCACAAGCATCCACTGCTGAGTCCCACCTCCCCACTTTGGAGGACCTTCCAGAATAGCTCTTGCTCCTCCGGAGCTCACAGCACGGGCTGCTCTCACAACTCTCCCCTTAACATCTCCAAAGACTCTCCTTCCCCTCCACCGCTGCCCTCTCCCTGGGGAAGGCAGGAGGTCTCCTTCCTCCAGGAAGCTCTCCACAGCTTGCTGCCCTCCCAACACTCCCCTTGAGCAAGAAGGAAGTTTACATTAGCTACTTTCTTCTACCTCAGTGAATACAGACAAACCCGTCTGTAAGGGAAGGTAAAGCAGAAGTGCAGCTGAACCAGTCTCTATAAGGACACTTAAAAGAAAGACTGCATTCCTTTTTTTTGCAGCCCTGCCAGCACATCTCCATGGCCAAAAGCAAGAGGATTCAAGCAAAGCCCAGGGAACCTGTCCTCCCGCCTCCTGGCTTACCTGGGAGCAATGCCACGTGGAGCCAGCAGCGTCCACTCCTCAGATGAGCCCTGTCCTGGAGTCATCACCCATGGGTGACTATTTATGATGTCCCAGCATGTGTGTGCTCCACGTCTTCCTCCTCCACCCCGAGGTCCGCCCACTGCATCAGTCATGATCCTTCCCTCTCCCACACAGCCGGTAGCTCAGAAGGAAGGATGACTGTCCTGTCAAAATGAGGCAGTCTCTGCCGGCGTTGCAGCTGATCCATCTGTTCGATTATGCCCCCTTTCACCAGCAGAAGCCATGAGTCCACCAAGACATGCACAACTTCAGATTTTAAGGCTTCTACCGCATCTGCCCTAAATGCCTTGACCATTGCCCAAGTAGGAAACACCGTTTCTCCTGAAACAACCTGCAGTGACTATGTAGGGAGAACAATTTCCTCTCTCTTCTGCAGCCCACTCTAATCACTATCGTTCTGTCACCATGAGTCCACGTCCTCCACCAAGGGTTTCTTCCATCACGTTTCACCTTATTTCCCTCGTTGTGCAAGAGCTTTGTGCGTGGATGCTGAACAGTTCAGGTTTGCCTCTTCTCATTTTTACCCACAGGAGGGAGCACACTAATATTTTAATAAAAGCTTCTAAATAGATATTCTTGTGTCTCAGCTGGTTCCTATCTCCTGCCCTTTGCTTCCTTGCGGATGGCCCAGCTTTTCCTCCAGGTGTTGAGCATACCCCCATTACGTATATATCTTACACTTTGGTGATAACATTGAGAGAGAAAGGTTATTTCTGGATGTCTTAATTATTGCAAGTCATCAGACACCAGCATTTCAAAGTCCTATCTGGGGTGCCCATGGCTGGCAGTTAGTGCGCAATGGGGAAGCTCCTCTTCTGTCCCCACAGAGAAGGGCTGACAGTAGCAGCTCCAAGGTGGGAACAGGACCAGGAGAACGTTACCTCCGTGTCTGAGAACAGGAGACAGGGAAGCTGTAGTACAAAAAAATGCCAAAAATGAGGCGGTTTTTCTGGCAGAGGCATTGCAGGCAGCACCAGCAAAGAGAATAATTGCTCATGGGCTGTGCAGGCAAAAGGAAGAATCTTCTCAAAGAAGAGTTTGGAGAAGGTTCATATTCCTCGTGCATTCATCATGAGGACCTGAGGCACATCAGCTGCTTGGGACGTGGGCTTACCCATCTGCAACAGCCACGGGAGACAAAGCGTAAGTGCAGCTGTCCTATAGCCCTGGTACAGTCTTGCTCCGATATAGTAAATGAAAAAAGCAATTAGAGTGCTACCTTTTGGTTTATAACCCAACTTGCTCTCCCTAGGGTAACGCGCATGAGTAGCATTCACCAACATGTTTGAAAGAGGCTGTAACTGCTTTCAAATCAATGAGTACGGGGCTGTTGAGAATATAAAACCTGCTCTAAGTACAGTGTGCCACAGGCCATCGGAAGAAATAGAAAATGGCATTGGAGCCCTTGAGTGCCACCTGGAAAAAGATAAATGAGTGGGGCTGGGTTACATCAGCCAATTCCATTTTTGTAGGAAAAATAAGCTGAGAGGAGCAGATTATCTGAATAATGATAGTTCCTCTGAAAGGAAAATCAGAGTTTGCACCAGCACGTAAATCCCCATTTTATTCTTAAATAACATGAATTAGTCTCTAAAAAGCAGACAGCAGCAAAGGCAAAACATGTAGGACAGCAGACTGCTAAGAATAATCTAATTTTTTTTCGTCTCTTTTTTTTTACTTAGAAAGAGAGGAAGCATTTTTCACTCTGCTGGAAGAAAATGTGTTGCAACCTCATCTTGTGCCCTTTTCTACGTCATGGCAATCTGAGCTTCCTACGTTGCCACGCACATGATCTGGTCAATCATCTCCCACAGAAAACCCCATGCCATTCAGCGTGAAGCATCAGGGTGAAATCTTTTCCCCAGGATCACTGAGTTTCCCCTTATATCCACTCCAGCCCAAGTCCGTAATAGTAATAATAACAATATAAGGCTAATTTTAGCCCTGCACAGCTTCCCAAGCACCATGAGTGGCTGCACGCCTCCCTTTCTTGCACGAGAATTTAATTATGGAAGTGTCAGCACGGCAGTTACGGGCAAGCAACTTTCTGCCAAGTCACCTGGCCACGGCGCTGCCACACGTGGTCCCAGGCAAAGCCATTCTGGCTCAGCAAGGTCCTCCTGCTAACTCCTTCTCTGACACCGGATCGCAGCTGAAAAGAAAATGGCCACTTTCATCCTAGTTGTTTCATGTCACTTTATCCCGTCACACTTAGCGGGTTCTGCCTCTCTGGTCCATGGTTTGCAAGTCACATTTGGCAATGGCTCTTTTTGAGCTTTAAGGTCTGTGAGATTTTTATAACCACTGAGTCCGCTCTCTTAACCATGCTCCCCTGCTCTTTGCTTCCCCAGACTCCTCTGGGACTGTGGAAATTGCACAGCAGGTTGGGTTTCAAGAGTGGTTTGGCTTCAAGGAGAATCAGAGGCCGAGGTGAGTTTGAATTGGCGAGATCGAACCATTCTGTGCCAAACCAACCTCCACCTTGGTCCTGTCCAGAAGATGCTCAGCACGATTCAGTGGTCTCCCCCACTCCTCTCAGTAGCACCTGCAAATCTATCTCTGCCACTAGCTAGCTAAGACTTCTCCGAACTTGGGTGTGGGCACATTCACTGCCAACAGCGATCTTAGGCAAGCCCTGCATGGAGTTCATGGCTAGAACTTAGACTGAAGAAATACCAACACAATGCTACTAGACAATATGGCATTTGCTTTAGCTTCTTTATGATTTTCACCTGATTTACTACTTCAGATGAGATAAACCAACCCAGTTAAAAGTTGGAATGAGTCTGCAGAAAGGAAAAATAAACAAATTAAAACCAAGAGGTATTGTGAGTCTATCCTGTAGTTCCTTGACCTGCAGACTGTGATGAAAAAATATTTCCGACTCAGCTGGAATGGGAAATATTTTCCTAAGCTGCATGAAGAGATCAGGCTGTTTTCCAGCCTTGAGAGGCGCACAAGCAAGTCTTCATCACAGAAACTGGAATTGCCCAGTCACCATAGCGAGAAGGAAAGGTGCACACGCTGAAAACTAAAAGAGAAAGTCACTG